AAACCTAACCCCATGTGAATCTGTACTTCGTCAATATACTGAATTACGTTTTTCTATTCAGTTTTATAAATTACAATAATAAAATGATACACTTACACTCAAACAATGAAATCTATAGGCACAACAAGCATCACCTCACTCAATCACTTCCTCTTTCTATATATAAACATAGTGACAGTAGTTATTCAATTACTTTATAGTTAACCTTTGATGGGGTCGCGGATGCGCACCACTAAGGAGTCCCATACAAAAATAAAATAGTTATCCAGTGCTTTCTGGTCTTTAGTAGTTGTTCAACTGAGATCAGTCTGTGATGTTAGCTATGAAATTTAAAAAATTCTCAAAAGCCTTAATAGTATTTGATTCTTGTTTGTTTTTTAGAGAATAATTATAGTTATTGAACGACCGCGAATAATTTCAACTGGTCTTAAAAAACAACACATTTCTTAGAGAAAAGTTTTCTAATTACGACTAAACCATGCAAATTAATGAATAAGTGCACATTAAGATTAATACAGTATAAGTAACACACAGTTACGTATACTCTAGGTATATACGATATACATGAAACAAAAGAAGCATCATTATGGAAGGGGAACAATTATATATATATATATATATATATATATATATATATATATATATATATATATACGAATTATTTCAGTATGAAATAAATAAACAAGTGGGTGGATGAGCACGTTATATTGATAGACTGTTGAGAAAAGGTAAAAAAGAACATCGAAATAAAGAAGAAGAGGAAGAGGAAACTAGGAAACTGGAGTTAGTGTTGAGATTATTACGAAATTAATTATTTTTTTCTTAAAAACTATTTATACTTATATATGTGTGTGTAAAAACTCCAAAGCTTAGTTAATAGAAAACTTGAGTCAAGAACAGGAAGTCGAAAAAAAAGTATGCGATAAATTTAAAACTTAGGATTTAACGAAATACAAAGAGTGAATCCATATATTATTATTATTACCGATTCTGAAGCACTTCAACCAACGTCTCTAATTATTGGTCATGATAGTTACTCTGATTGTAACCAGGTTAGTTTGCAGCTGCCTACATGGCAAATTAAGTTAGGTGTAGGTGGGGCTGAAACTTTCAAACGCGCTGATTACATGTTCTAATCCCATTCCATGTTGCAGAGTTCCGACAGTTTAAAAGTAATTATCAACACAAACTGACATCAAAAGGAGAACTATCAAACATTTCAAAAAAATTTTCTTAAATGACTAGAGGATCTAAACACTAACATACAAGTAGACTGAGAGTTATCAAGTCTCATGGTGATTGTAATAGATAAAAACCATCCTATATTACAAAATGAATGACAACGAAAGTGTTATGTCCATCCCAAGTAACCTGTGTCTGCTTAATGACTGTACGTTGACATATATGGTATATCACATATCTATGCTATGACATATTCTTTTATCCTTTGTACTTTTGTCATAATAAAACTCTTGTTCTAGTCTGTATCTGGTTTTTGGACGAACAGTCGGATTATCGAGTGAGAATGTATCATGTGGTTAGGAAAAGTTAATATTACGGAATAAAGTATAGATCATTTTCTTACTCGGTGGCTTGAAGGTACATTTATTATTATTTTTATTTATTTTAACACATAAATATTGGTACAAGGAAGCACCAAATACATATGCGCCACACAAATCTCATTTGATATGTGTGAGGGCTGTGATACTGTCCGGGTGCCCAAACCAAAGCAGGTGGTTTTCTTAGGGGGTTACACCCCGAGCCTTCAACCTGAAGGTCTGATCCACAAGGCAGTGGAGCATCATAGGGAGATGCAGTCCCATGGAAGCCGGTGACCAACAATTGGTTCATACGCCATTTGTTCCCGCAGGATACTGGAGCCCATGTACACCATTGGTTTGGAATTAGGGTTTTCCAACTCTCTTAGGTGAACTCACCATGTCCACTAACCTGGTTAAAGCTCCGGACATTCGCTTTTCGTCCTTTCAATTTCGTAAACAACACCCCTGCCACGAGAAGGCAGTGAGTAGGACTTCCCTGGCAGAGGCTATATACGCGTGGTCATGTGAGAGCATTACGAGAAGGAGAGCGAACTCTCCCCACTCTCGGTCGTATCAGGGAATTTGGGGGCCTACTTGAAAAATAAAAGCCTGGAGATCATGTACTTATTCATAGTACGCGCATTGTTGAGATGCCTTCAATAGAATGAAATATAACTTCCTAATACCGTTTTGTTTCCAAAGGTTCGTCACGAAAATTACCTTAACCATATGTCACCATACATACATCTTCTTTGTGTGCTTATACATTATTGTTCTAGGCGATTGGGTTTTATTCATTGTCTTAAAATAGATATAGTTTATAACGCCAATGAAAAATTTGAACAAAGTTATCGAGTTGTATTGTTTAACGTTTATTCAATAAGATTGGAAGATATGCTTCATAAAGAATAGTCATCGGATAACTACTCGTCTCTATATTTTGGGTTCAAGTCAACCGAAAATAAAAGATGTTAGAAGTGTAATAACTTAAATGATCACATATGTAGTTATTGTTGTTTTTTTGCATAATACTTACTAATTTTTAGGAGGATGAAGAAGATAATGCAGTTCAATCGAAGTATTTTGGCAGTTCTCTAAACTATTCATTGCCTTAATACACAATATCATCTGGACATATTTTGAAAAATTTAGTAATTTGTTACACTCATCATTTATTACAAGTATAAATTATAGGATATAAATTCAAGTCGATAAGCAAATGCGGGCTTTCTAAAACAAATTACATAAGGACAAACTGTATAATATTAAAAACGAGTGCAATTGGAACACGAATAGAATTATGACTGATTAGAAGTAGAGTGTGAATAAATAAGTAAATTGATCGGCAGCTTTACAAAACAGTTGTGTTTTAATCGATCAAGTATTTAGTTTGTTTTTGTTTTTTTTGTTTTTTTATAAAATAAAAAAAACAAGAATTAATTTAGAGAGCCTAGTGACGAATGAAAAAATCAAGTTATTACAGTGTTGACCAGATTATTTGTGTTCATGTTGTTAAGGATGCTAGATATTCCAGTCAATTAATTAGTCTTTGTAATAAATAAATAAAATGCATTTTCCCAGTTTGCTATACTTTTTATCAATGTTCGTCTAACTGATACTACTAATAAAAGTTAAATTTAATCTGAGTTAAAGCAATATTCAAATTAGTGACCTCTAGATGATATAGATAAGTAAATTAAGCGAATAATTCTACCCTGAAGATGTTTAGCAATTAAACAGGGAATATACTAAGCGATAAGCACATAAGTAAGACAGATTCACTTATGATCAATAAAGTACTTAAGAAGACATAACATAAAGTAGAATGAATTAAAAACTCAAACGAAACATTAAATAAACACTGTTATGAACTTATAAGAGAAGCTTGTGTGTATCAGAAATTATGTCAGTATTATATGCTTAAAAAATGAATATAACACATTGCATAATTGTTTGGATTACTAATGGTATCAGTAGTTTCTAATACAAGTTCTATTACAGACATAGTTTACACTCTAAATATGTATATAATAACTGTCAAGGTTAAATTTAAGAGATTATTGCCCTCAGATAACCAAGATTTGTAGAGATGCTGTCTTTTTTTACAACAGTAGGGGGTTAGAAAACGTCAGACCAAGAAACGCTATATCTTGCCTTGCTTCAAAGATTTTTTTGCCAGTGATAAGGCCTTATAATACGGATCTAGAATATCTAAAATCACTTACAAAAATCCCATGTACCCAGCCTTAAGCAGTTGTTCTCTAAGCATTCTGGTCAAGCTCCGCGGTAGCCAAGACCATTTCAAATCCATTTCCTTTTTAAGCTCCTCAAGAAGAAACAGAATTTTCCAATAGTTTTTGACAGCTAGCAATTGATAATTACCCTTATATATCTTTAACAGCTATCGAGATAATTTTATTCACATACGCTGGCAACAAGAAAAGTGGGAGTCAATTCACACACTAAATGCGAGTGCTAATAAGACTGCCCGGTTGCCCATATAAGAGTGGATAAATTGTAGTTTAAACCTGTGAATTAATGGCTAAAAGTTAAATGCTCTAACAACTGCTGAGCTGTTGATTCACTTCCAATAAAGTATCCATTCTATTCCGATCTCATAATTCGATTATTAAATACATTTAAAAGCAAGCAATCCAGAGTTTGGGCCAGATCAATAGATATCCAGCATTCATAACCACTCAGATTATAACATGTCCTTTAGCTCATTTCATAGACCAATCATAATAGTCAGTATAAGGTTGTGGAGATTGTTGAGTTTCATTGAGATGATGAACTGATCAATGTTAGACAACCATCGTCCTAGTATGGGACCCCTCAGAGGTGCCCATCCACAACTTTGAGTACAAAAACTGAACCTGGGGTCTTTGGTCTCACGCGCAAATACCTAACTTCTAGACCACTGAACTGAAATCCAATGGTCTTAATATCTAACTTCAATCAATCCACGATATTCATAACGGATTGGTTAATTTCACCATTACCGAAGTCACTGTTTTTCTCACATACATACAATTGATTTTCTAAACACAAAGATTTATTAAGTTTTTTTACTAGTGATTACTAAGCTTTTTTAGTTTTCAAGTTTTCGTTTTGTACCATCATCACCAATCATAACAACACAGGTTTATCACAAGTTTGCTTGATAACGACTTATACTTGTTGACCGAAAAATAGATAATAGAGAATGTGTCCATATTAAAATAAATTCTACAGTGCGATACCACAACTAAGTAAGTAATTATTGTATAACTGGAACATTTGAGAGATTAAAGCAAACAAATACACTGTGGATAATAGTTAGAACGACTGTTTCGTATGTGATTATATGAAAGTGAGAAAAAAACTGATATGAACCACAGGATAAATAAAAAAAGGAAAGACAGAGACCATTTGAAAACAGTGAGAGGGAAAAATAACAACGACAAGTCCACTTACCTTAACTATCATTTGAATTTCCATATCATTGAATAATCGTCCACCTGAATTCATGGAATCGCCAATAGGATGTCTTTGACTATTGTGAATACTATTATTAGTATGATTTGGTTCACCATCAATATGATGACTTAGTAATGTATCTCTAGATGAATAATTCAATTGATTATGATCATTATTCATACAATATTGATGCGGATGTTGATGAGGATGATTCGATAAGTTCATATCCTGATTTGACTGTATAGGAGTAAGTAGATTTTGATGAGAGTTAACTGTACTACCACTTGGTATAGTAGAAAATTTTGAAGGAATTATACCTAAAGAAGTGTTATTATTATTATTACTGCTATGCCCATGTTGAACAGATGATTGCAATTGAAGTGGAAGAGATGATTGTGAATGTGTCGGAGGTGGCATAGGCGGTGGTGGTAACGGTGGAAACGGAGGTGGTTGTAAAGGAGGAGCAACTGAAACGCCAGGAATTTTAGATAATGATTTTTGTGTAGAAGGATTAGATGAATGATTATTTGGTTGTTTAGAATAATAATCCATAGTTTGATTGACAGAATTCAAATTACAACCAGGATTACAGTCTAAAATATCATGATTAGAAGCGAGATCTGATGTATCTTGAAAACAATAAAAAACAAATAAACACGTATACATATAAAAAATAAAGTTATAGAGAGAGTTTCGTCTTGCATATGATTAATAAACGAGAATAAATACCAAACAAAATGTTATAACTGTGATCCAGCGTTTTCTGACTAAAAATTTGATACCTTTGGAAGAGAGAACAGAAGTTAGCTCTCTTTTTCATCATGTTCTTTGAATCTCTCGTAAAAGTGATTTTTTTAATCAATTTGTCAGGCTTACAAATTCGTTTGGTTTTGAGTCGCATTTTATGTCCGAGTTAGTTATAATACCTGGCTCTTTGAACTACAGTAGGTTGAGAGGGAGTTGAACTTATGATTTAGTGGCTGAGAAACGGAGGTCTAAACCACTGGGCCACCGATCGCAAATAGTTTACTAATGTGAAAAAGCATGTAACAAACCAATAAACCATCTGGCATTACATAATATAGAGATAAGCTATAACTCAAGTTGAATATTAATTGCTCTGTTAGATCGAAATTTTACAAACTCTGAAAATCTCGAGTTGAAACTGATACATTATTGCAATACATTTACCATGTACATATTCATTTAGTCACAAGGAGAGAAGCAGTGATTCTACTCGGCCTCCTGGATTTAGCGGGGTTCCAACATGTGATTTATTGATTGGAAGTCAAATAGAGTTCCTAAACTATTAAGCTACTGTTGAGGAATTTTTTCATTACCCTTCTTGTTAAAAATATAAATCAGATAGTTAGTTTTGAATTATTTAAAATTAGCAAACATTATGAAATTCAATCATAAGGAATAGAACTTAACATGTAGTGATAGTTATCAGAGTTTAAAATGTATAGTTTAGAAGAAAGTGAAACGACAGTCAACGATTAAAGTGTAATAGATGAAATTGTATTACACTATTAACATTTTATCATTATAATTTTGTGCTTTTCATTTTTTTGTTATTTTCAGTTAGAACATGATCGTTTATTCGTAGTTCATTAGCACACTGCTGGTATTGTAATTCTTTTTATTCCTTATATTAAAATTCCTCCAATATTTTAATGGTGTGCTGTATAAAGAAACGACAAAACACGATGTTCTAGGTTATCTCTATTTATCTACATATTTATGAACTAAACAATGAGAATATTAGAAAAAAGTAAGCTGTATCTAACTCATCGTTAGTAAAATGTAACCTGTGAAGATATATATCGTGAAGAGATTTCAGACAGTTGATAATAAATTGTTTAACCATTTATCATGCATGATGGAATTATCGACTGAATTAAGTGTAGAAACTTTAAGATGGAGGATAATTTATTCGAGAAAATAATAAATCAAATGAAGTGTGTTGTATATGCCTTAAATGCTACATTTCAATCGACCAGTTTCAAATCAAAAAATGATAATATTAATTCAAATAGACGCAAACAACAAAGATATCTTAGTGAAAATACTAAAATTTATATAGAATTAACAAAACGGTCTTCTCTTAGGATCTTCTCTATTCTAGTCCTAATTAGCTGGAAATAGACCAGTCAATGTGTTCCTAGTTGAACCTGATCGGAGAGCATGAAATAGTCAGGACTGTATTCTGCTAACAAAACAATTAGCTCATGTTCTGTTGACGTCCAACCAATATCTATTACTCTGTATGAAGGTAATTTTCGTCACACAATAAAATCAGTCATAAATTCATCGGGAAATATAAAAACCTGGGCCTACTAATTCATCTTGTTTAGTTCGACTCTGGTGCAACAATGGGCGTGTACTATCCTAAAGGAAATTAAAACAAGAACATGAATATCAGTAAACCAGTATCTTCGTATTTTCGACTTCCGATGATTTTTTTATTACAGCAAGATCCTTTCATTCACTATCATCGACAAATGACTACCAGCTTATTGGCCAATTCGTTGAGTGAAGCGTACAGAATGATATCGTACTTACACATGAGGAAGAAAATAATAACCTATTGCCCTTTTTAGACATACTTTTGAGTCGAAGGGAAGATGGAACTACAAAGTGGTTAGTTTATAGGAAGCCAACCTAAAGTGGTCAATATCTAAATCTCTACAGTTTCTGTCCATTGCAACACAAGCGAGTCTTGGTAAAGTGCTCCTTCAATAGGACTCGAAGAATATCCACTACAGAGAAGTTGGAAGAAGATACGAAACTGCTGGCTAAAACGTCAATATCAAACGGTTATCCATTAAAGTTTATAAATAGGCAAAAAAAAGTCAGTCAACACTAAAACCTCTTTTTAGACCTGCTGAGGAGAAAAGTTTTTATATATCATTATCGTTTAACGGAGAAATGGATAGAATAGACTAAAAGCAGCAATCGAGAAAACATATTACGCTGCTCAACTGGTTGTGATTGAAAAGACTAAGCCCATGATTTCAAATTGACTTAGACATTATATCAAATCCCACCGCATTCACTAATTCACATGTTTGTGTGAACACACACACATAGAGAGGAGTAATTGAATAATACAATCAAACGTTATGTTGGATGCGTCTAGACGGCTTCAGAACCAAATCCTTTAATAAAAGTGACGAGTAGAAAACCATGTTCATCAATAGTAGAGCACATAATTGAAACGGAGCATAGAACTGACATAAATACAGTTTTGAAAACATTGTATAGAAATTGTCAAGGACGAATACTTAGTTTTATAAAAGCCTTAGTTATTCATAAATTCAAACCCCCTTTATGTGTACAGAAACAAATCGGCGTAACCTCGGAGTCACCCTGGTAATTTCTAAGACATTTTATTATCTAGGGTAATGAGATAAATTCTTATTCAATAAATAAGAAAGATTGTTTCAACGAAGAGTTATTTTTCTGTAAATTCATTTTCAAAGCTGTACAATCACAAATACATGCTTATTTTTCAAAATGATAATAGTTACGATAATAGTGATGATAAAATTCTGCTAAACATGGTAACAGTGAAGGAGAAAAAGCAAAAGTATAAAAACATTCTTCTTATCAAGGAAACTAATGATAATTTTGTTAAGAGCTTGAGTATTCACTATGAAATTAGATAAGGGATTATAATTGGAAGGACGACTCAGTATGAAAATTGTTAAGACTGAAATGAACTAAAATCCGGAGGATCAGCGAAACGGACAAAAATCAATTGGAGGGGCAAAAGGTCTATAGAGAAGACAGAAGGGAAACAGATAGCTGTTAAAGAAGAAAAGTATGAAGAAGAAAGAAAAGATTACGAAAGTAAAACCACGGTAGAAGTTGTATAAGTTTTTCTTGGACACATAATTTTGGTTTTTTGCAGATTTCAGTCAGTCAGTCAGTCAGCTACAACGTAGGATCAGGCACATATGTGCATCGGTCCAGGTTGCCATACCGCATCAGCACAGCAAGATGAACACCGGATTCATAGCAGTGGTTAGGTCAAAGGTAGTAATATATAAGAGAAAGATTGCATATAGAGATATAGTACAAGAAGAAAGAATTGGTTCGTAGAAAGAAAGATATGAAGCGATTTTAATCTCTTAGTCTAAGGGAAGACAGGGAGTGTATACACCGACGCCATTGTGATCGATTCTGAGCCATGTCACCAAGAGTCTCCAACCATTGGTTACGATTGTCACGCGGACCCCAACCAAGTAGTCTGCATCTACCAACATGGCTCAGACTAGAAGTTAGTGACTTCAAGCACTGATGCCACGTTTTGGTTTGGCCGCCCCTAACTTTCTTCCAACCACCCCTACACCGGTTAGCATTGCACGACGTGGTAATCGGTGTTCAGGCATACGTAACACGTGGCCCAACCATCTCAGTCGATGAAGATTCATAACTTCATCAACTGATTTACCATCATTCCCTAATACCCTGCGTCTAACCTCACTATTACTTACCCGGTGATCCCAGCAGTTGCCAGCAATATTTCTAAGGCATCTGTGGTCAAATACTAATAGTTTACGAGTGCCTTCTACTCTTAATGGCCATGTTTCGCTGCCGTAAAGTAAGACAGAACGGACTGCCGCGCAGTATACTCGTCCTTTTATTGATAGACGGATATCTCGCCTTCGCCATAGGTGACGTAAGTTGGCAAAAGCCAATCGAGCTTTTCGAATCCGTGCTGAGATTTCGTCCGATACCAACCCATTAGGGCTGATCAGAATTCCGAGATAAGTGAAGTTGTCAACGCGTTCGACTACTTCACTCCCTATCCTTAGTTCAGGTGTTAACGCAGGCCAGCCCTGAAGCAACAACTTGCATTTAGAGGGAGAGAAGCGCATTCCAAACATCCTGGCATTGTTGCTCAGTGCTACCAGAAGACAGATTTATAACCAGTGCTTCGGGGATGTTAGGAAGATGGGATATAACTGCCTTTGGAAGCCCTTTACTAACCTTTTAGATGATCTTGAGCACAGAATCTGTTTTGATTGAATGACCTGTGTTCAAACGGTTTTCGATTGTTGAGCTTCTTATTGAGCCCTTTTCATCTGTTTTCAGCAAAGTTGGATAATGTTTTCGAATTCTTCGGGATAAAATATGCATTGAATGACCCATATGCTGGCTCCACATGAACAGATAAATTAATAAACGCGCATAGTTTTGGTCAAATGAGATAATTTATCCTTAAGATTATTGATGAACATTTGTCGACTAGAGAACACTATTCGAAAAGTTATTGAGAAGAACGTTAGATTAAAAGATTCGGAAATTCTTCTCATGAGGACATCCGCAGATATATCACCTTTGAAAGCAATGTTCATGTTAAGTTCGCTACCCGATTAACGCAGAGTACAGTATACAACTGCGGCACTCGAATTTATATAACCCCAACAGTCACAATCATCGGTATTTATAGATATTAGAGTTTGTTATCTCAACATTATAATACAGCCAATCCGCAAAGAGGCATGTTATGCCACACTGATATTCTAGAAAGCTCCACCACATTCTGGTTGGATGGAGACTCTTCGTTCATTTAGAACCTCTGAAGGCTCCGTCGTAGTTCTCGGGAGCCGTCCTAATAGTTTATAGGAAACGTTTTATTTTCTATGGAGGTTATTTATGCTTTAGGCGGTTTGAGTTGTATATTCTTATCAACAAATCCGTGTCGGGTAGTGACAGGTATCTACCTCAGTACAATGGAAGTTGGTCGCGCAATTTCGTGGATTGGTTGATATTAGACACTAACACCATTAGATGCCGGCTCAGTGGTCTAGTTGGTTAAGCGCCTGGCGCGAGACCGATAGGTCCTGGGTTCGAATCTCGCGAGGAGCAGGATCGTGGATGCGCACTGCTGAGGAGTCCCATACTAGGACAAGACGGCCGTCCAGTGCTTCCAACGGTGGTCTAACATCAATTGATTCATGATCTCAATTTAAAAAAATATCGATAGATACACGTTTATGATAAGTATTTTCTTAAGAAGGCTCGGTCCGTTATCCGTGACGTCGGGACTACAAATTCTTCATATTCGTGTGGCAAGGGATATACTTAAGTTTCTTTTCCGACTAATAAGGACCAAGCTGTGAAAAACTGACAGCTGGCCATTCAACAAACATTTCCTGTAGATGGATCTTCTTACAGTTACGTCGTGTTTCGTTGTTATTTTGACATCAAGAAAGTGAATGCTTTGTTTTCAACTTATTGTGTGAAATTTATTGCCAAGTGGCAGTTGTTAAACGTCTGCAGAAAACGACTCAAATCATATTTATTGTCACGAATGATAAAAACATCAGTCACATACCTTTTATACAAGTGGAATTTGTCAATGGCCGTTTTAAGTCGAGTGTTTTCCAGACTGCCCATAATACTATCTGCTAGTAACGGACCAAGACAGGATCCCATTGTTATCCCATCCTTTTGCCTATGAAATATGTCGTTCAGTGTAAATTGTACATTACAAGTGCATCGTAATGGTAGTTCGATATTAAACTCATTATCACTTATGTATTCGCAGATGAAACTGATGGTCTTTGTGAGTGGAACATTAGTGAATGGTGATTCGACACCAAGTGAAAGGATAAGTTTGTCATGTACATTCAATTCTTTTATGTAATCAATGAATTCAAAAATATCATGAAAGGAATCTATGCAAATACGTTTTCCTGTGGGTTCCAGATCAGCCAGTCACTTTACTATAGAGTGGTAAAGGGATCCGGACATACCAAGAATTGGTCGGAGAAGTAGGCTAGGTTTGTGTATTTTAGGCAAACCATATGGTTCTATTGTTTCTGTTCTTTCCATATTATATTAATTTCCTCTCTCTTTTATCTACAATTGTTACTTTATGTTCATTTAAACTTCCATTTAATTGATCTTTATCAATTTTAATATAAAATGCCTTGACTAGTACATATGTGACCAGATTGTTCGAAACGTATAATGCAAGTACATCATATTCTTCAGACCCATTCCATTTTCTCATTTTTTCGATATTCACTGAGTTGATCTAGTTTGACATGTGTATCATTCATTCACTTCTATGTATAAAGATTTTTATAAGTTATAACTCTAATGATAAATAATCTACTGAGATCAATTTGCAATGAAACAATAATTAAGTATGACCAGTCACCACCTACTTTAAGGCGTTCAATCAAACTTACCTGGAATTTCAGATATGATTGAATCTTCTACTTCAGCATAAGATTCATGTGGATTAGTAACCGGGATTATTTTATTATGTGATACTTGTATCCAGGATGGTAAATCAGGTGGGATACTATTTATCCAACGTTGAACATGCAACATGCGTTCCTGACAAAAAACAATAATCATAATAATAAAGAGAAGGAATATTCACATGACTTTCAAGTTTATTTAATTTCTAAAAATCAATAATCTTGATGCTTGATAAAAAAACATGGCAAATCAACAAAATAGGATGTTTTGTTTTTATTGAACAGAATTCTAAAACATGCAATCATTTGATCTAGAATAGTGTTTTGCCTATGAATTTATTAATCCAACTTTTATACTACTACTGTAGTGAACGAAGAAGTCAAGTGGGGAAAACCAATTTACTGTTTAATGCACGAACACGCAGTGGTTTTTATTTATTTATTTATTTAGACACATGAATATTGGTACAGGGGAGCGCCAATATATATGCGCCATACAGAACAATGAATATTCGAAGAGGAATACAAAGAAAGAAAAAAAGAGGCTAAGGAGCACAAAAAAAGAGAGAACAATAACGAAGAGATCGGTGTAAGGTAATGTGCTAGTAAACAGGGAACGCAAAGGTACAATCGGAAGAAATCTTTCAGGTAAGGGAGACACAACCACTGTTTATGAAGAAAGTAAAAGGTTACAGCAGGATCGCCACTGGCTTCTATTCTGAGCCATATCTGATAACGTCTCTAGCCACTGTGTAGCACCATCTCTCAGACCCCAACCAGGGAGTCGTGAACGACCAACAGAAGCCAGTCCTTTGCAGCTTTCTTTCATGCCACGACACCATGTCATGCACTGACCACCTCTCCGCTTCTTCCAACCAGTCCCAGAGTCGGCAAATAATGCACGACGTGGAATTCTCTGGGACGACATTCGGAGAACATGTCCAAGCCACCGAAGTCAGTGTTTCAAGATGGTGACACCAATTGAATTATCATCTCTGTGCCCGAACACACGATGCCGAACCTCTGCATTACTGACATGGTGTTGCCACTGAATGTCAGCAATCCTTCGGAGACAACGATGATCGAACACAGAAAGTCGTCTAACGTCCTCAACTCAGAGAGGCCAGGTTTCACAAACATGGAGCAAAACTGCTCTCACCGACGCGTTGTAGATCTTACCTTTTACAGCCAGACTAACATCACGAAGGCGCCAAAGATGGCCCAGATTGGCATAAGCCGCTCTGGCTTTCACTATACGTGCATTGATCTCATCACTCACACCCCCACCAGCACTTATGCAGCTACCCAGATACACGGACTTCTCGACTACGTCTATCTGCTCACCATCCAGGGTGAGTACAGGATTGGAATCCTGCCAGTCTTGTAGAAGTACTTTGCACTTCGAAGGTGCAAAGCACATACCATACCTACGGACACTGATTGCCAACTGATTAAGTGCGGATTGCATGCCTTGGGCATTATCGCACAGTAAGACAATATCGTCCGCATACTCAAGGTCGAGAAGTCTTTCTCCAGGCAACAGATCCACACCGCCACGCAGTGGTTTAGTACAGTGTGCAAATCATACATCAATTACATAATTTGAACATCTTTGAATTGTCTCTTACAAGCATTAATGTTTCTTGATTCCTGTTGTTATCTTGATTGCTTTCAGTTTCCTTCTCTCTTCACATCATTTCAATCTTCTCAACCTTCTGCTCTCAGACAATCCACTTCCGACTGGTGTTACATACTACATATATCTGCAAACGTGAGTAGCATACATCACACTACTGCTTATGGTGACAGCTTAACAGAAAACTCTGACGGTGTTTAAACTAAAACAAATGACTATATTTTTATTTTTTATTTACTGTAAAGAATTGCATCTCAACTTAAATAATCAGCAGTGTCATTGTAAATATCTTATATATTTACATATAGAGTCATTTTTACAATCCTTTTATAGTGAATATAAAATAGTAGGGATTTACTACAGATATAGGCATCTTTTCGGGGCATAATAGGGAGCAGTAAATATGATACTTCCATTAGATGTTGTGTATAAGTACAATGCTGGCGGTATGAGAGAATTTCGTGACGCGCTTTAAAGTAACATCCACCCTTTGACACGTAACGAATACATTACGATAAGTTGCCAAAAATAACACTAGACAAAAAGTATTTACTTAGTTATAATGTATCAGATTGAAATATCAAGCACATAGAATTATTCATTAACTCAATGCAAAAACAAACAAATATAATGAAAGTACTTGGTTGAATGCACTCAATTCACTAGTATTACAAAATTGAAATCATATTAATCATTTGCACCTACTATTTGATATTGAAAATTCATGACTCCTGCATAATATGCTGATATGAAAAAAAACAGACACACAAAATCGTCTGTTTTTTATACTTAACTTTACGAACTGATCTCTAAAAACACCTAATATAATACTAATGATCATATGCCCATGAGTGACTTATTTCGAGAGGTGATTCAATGAGTTCAAATGACAATCCGTGACCAATGAAGTACGATCATGTCGTGTCAGGCAGTTGTCCACTACAGGCAATAGAAGATGACTGCACAATATCGCGAATTGATTGGAGGTAAACATCTAAACGACCGAATGCTGACTCATTGGTCTAACGATTAAGTTCTCACAGCAAAAATTGAAAGTCTTAAGTTCAACACCTGGTGAAGTTGAAACCTCATAAAATTGAGGAGTTTCATGTTGGGAGCAAACACATGTCCAGTGTTTCCTAGCTTTTAATGGTAGTTTAACCAACATCATTCCATGATGTTGACTATGACTCCCTATATAGTATAACTGTTTATGATAACACAAGTTAAAACACTAATTATGTGAAATATGACCACCAAAACATAAGTATCATCAAAATCAATTTGTTTCCTGTTTCGGTTAACAAAATAGTGAAAATGATCAAGTATCACTAACAGAATTGTTGATGAAAACGAAATATCTTGATTTTCCGACTAACCGAAAGACACAAAAAACCTGATGTACAATGAGAAAGTCCCCTCCTTTTCCACAACTTTGTACACTGGTAAATAAAAATAATGTAGTGATAAAATAACACTAATAATAAAATTTTAATATCATTTCTTAATGTCACAGCAAAGAATTAGATTTCTTTTTTTTAGAAGAGAATTTCGTAATATTGATAAGGGCTGTTAAAAAAAACGTTTGTGTTAAAATATCATATTATTTTACTTTTGGGTTGTTCAGTTAACCTTATTGCGCGATTTCTAGACAATCTTTTAGTAGGGTTAAATCACTCGACTTGATAAGATAATCTAGTAACCAAGCTATATATATTACCCAACAGAATTGGATAGGTGTTCAGAAGTGTTTAGCAAGTTAACGCACTTTACAATCGATGTATTGTTGACTTCTACAGTCGGTCAGTCATCTACAACGTAAGACCAGGCACATATATGCATCGGTCCAAGTTGCCACACCTCGTTAGCACAACAAGATGAACAACAAATTCATAGAATCAGTCACTTCAATGGCAGTAATGTATAAAAGAAAGATTGTGTATGAGGATATAGAACAGGAAGAAAGAATTGGTTCGTAGAACGAAAGGTATAAGGTAAGCTCAATCTCACAGTTTAAGGGAAGAAAGAGAGTGTATGCACTTACGCCACTGTGATTGATTCTGGGCCATGTCACCTAGTCTCCAACCATAGTCACACGGACCCCAACCAAGTAGTCTGTATCTATCAACATGGCCCAGACTAGAAGTTAGTGACTTTATGGACTGATGCCAAGTTTTGGTTTGGCCGTCTCTAACTTTCTTCCATCCGTCTCCAATATTAGCATTGCGCGTCGTGGTAATCGATGGTTGGGCATGCATAGTACGTGGCCCAACCATTTTAGTCGATGAAGATTTACAACCTCATCAACTGATTTACCATCATTCCCTAATGCCCTGCATCTAACCTCACTATGACTTACCCGTTGATCCCAGAAGATGCGAGCAATATTTCTAGGGCATCTGTGATCAATTACTAGTAACTTACCAGTATCTTCTACCCTTAATGATCACGTTTTACAGAAAATAAATTGATAAACATACTCAGAGAGGGGTTTTGTGGACATTATAGTAATTTAATAGTTGAACTCATGAGTCAATTGAAGCCAGATCACCATGGAAATTCTGGATGCACTGTAAGGACGTTTCGTCCTAGTGTGGGACTCCTCAGCAGTGCGCATCTATGATCCCGCCCCGCGAGGTTATAGTCATCATATCCCCAATAGTGACTGTTTCCAAGAGGTATTTCTTGGAGTTATAGTGAGAAACCGTAACCAGTAGAGTTCAACCGGTTCTGTAGTGAGATGGTAACTCACCGAAGACAATGGTGAACGGTGGCGCAATTTCGTGGTTTGGTTAAAGAGAGACATTAGCACTATTGGATGGCAGCTCAGTGGTCTAGAGGTTAAGCGTTCGCGCGAGAGACCGATAGGTCCTGGCTTCGAATCTCGCGGGGCGGGATCGTGGATGCGCATTGCCGGGAGTCCCATACCAGGACGAAACGACTGTCCGGCGCTTCCAGGTTTTCCATGGTGGTCTAGCTTCAACTGACTCATGAATTCGACTATTAAATTGATAAACATACACTGGATGCAATTCAATGGACTAACTTGTATTTAATGTATTAACAAATGAATTTAAATTAGGTGAATACAATGCAATGAGATAATTTTAAACGATACCACCTTTATGATGATCAATCAATAACAAGGTCATAGATCGAACGAATAATACAATCAACAAGAACGTAAAAGTAAATGAGGACAAAAAAAGACTACGAAGACAACCGACCATAGAATAAGCCTTTACTAATGAACTGATATAATATTTATGAAGTAACTGAAAATTGTGGCAGTATAATTATTATCCAGAACAACAATGAAACCATCTATTTCAAAGAAAACAATATCACCGAAAAAACTCTGTTTATTATGTATAAAATACATCAATATTTGATATTTTAGAACAATTTCGTCAATAATCCATGGTCTAATAAGTGTGGACAGATTTGACGATAGGAAATTTAGTGATGCTAAGCAGTCAGATAATAATAATAATAATAATATTCTGAAAACATTTACAGAATGCAGACCATTTTAAAGAAATTATGAAATTGATAAAAAATAGAGATAGAATTTCGACAAGAAATAAAAACATGTTATTCAAAAAGACGTAATTCACAAATTATTTAGACTGAAAATCCATCATAAAGATTGTAATAATATGAAGCACAATGTGTAAGCGAAATGCATAATCAGTGACGACATCATTTTAGAGTACAGCATAAACACAGTAGAATATATCGATTTCGTAAACATGAAATCGTCCTCCATAAGTTGATGTATGGTAAACTTAAATAAGCAAAGAAAGTTTTCTAACTACAACTTCTTCATGAGGAATATGAAGTAACAGATGTGACATATTCCCCAAGGAAATTACATAATAAGTTTTATCTATTAATGGTACAACTTAGTGTTACACAACAATTCCGTAGTACAGTGTAAACTAAGTTGAAAACTTGTAAAATATGTTCTATTTATAAAAGAGAACTGAGTTTATTAAATTAACATTAATGTACTAAGATTTGTGAATGAATTTTTTATTCTTGTTAGCCATAGATTGTAGCATTTAAGAACCAGTATTTTCTTAGTAGGAGAACTGAGAAGTCATCTTTGCAAAATAAGCAGTTTTGTGTATGATCAAGTGTGAAAAGTATCGTTCGAAGGATAAGAAGTTACCAAGTCCTTGAGATTGTGCACGTATATCAACTAAATTGATCGACGAATGTATTTTCACAAAAATGCACCTACATCCATTAAAAAACTTAACTAGTTGAAATAAGGTCAGTTGAAAAAAAGAACCGATGGAGTCACCAATTATTAATCTCATACTTAGCAGAGAACCTGCTAACAACAAATATATAATACAAAATACATCAAATGACGATTTTTCAAGGAATATCGAGACACAAAAATTATTAGTGTAAAACTTCGTAATAATGCACAAGTTATTACACTTCAATAGACAAACCAAGAAGAAGAAAGGTGCAAGATTGTTCACTTAACCGTTGCACTATACAAAGAACAATGATTTACAGATATCTAAAACAAGTAAGTGTCATTTATCTCCAGTTACCATGTTTTACAAGCGCTGAATATTATAGGACGAAAAACTAGGCTATTTATTTGTCAAAAGATATGCAGCATGAGTCACTTATAACAAGAAAACTGGACAGATCCTGTGTATATGTGCCGAGATTTCGTCAGTCACTAACCCATCTAAGTGAGTAGGTCTTTCTAAATGAGTGTATTGGTTGATACATTAAACTATATTATTTTATATAATCACATAAGATGAAAAAAGTTTGGTATAAATAAACACAGGATTTAGAAAGTGTGAAACACATTCCAAACAATTTCATATTATTATTCAATGTGTTCAGAGAAGAATGAGAATTTTACTACCATTTCCACTTACTAGAACTATCCTGTCTAAGTAATTCAGGCTGACAACAGAACCTCTAAGACATCATATCAGGTTATGCTATGGGAGAAATTATTAGAATCATGAAATAAAAATTCGTTTGCGTATTTAAGTTAAAAGTTAGTCGATTAGCTGAATATTTATTCTTAGAAAAGCAATAGGATAATTATTATTGTATCCCTATTTAGATTTAATCTCCTCCTAACCCCACCAACACATTAGGTAATAGACTAGATATAAATAATTAAATCTTAATGATGGTTATTATTAATATTTGACCATTTAATTAACTCTGTGATTATGTTCAGTATAGAAAGAAAAAAAATGGAGGGAATTTAAGTAATTCAGCATTGATCAGTATAAATAATAAATTTATCTGTCCGAAAGAAGGAAGGCGGAAATAGACAATGTTTGTTTGCTTGAAGAATAAATGAGAACGATCAACAAATACAAATGTGAATATATCCATTGGCAATAGTTGTAGATGACTACACCCTTTACTCTGTTTTTATAGCGAGGATACATAAATAAATAGTTATATATATAATCGATTGATGCGGCATGCTGTGAGAAAATGAGAGAAATAAGAGCCTTTTGCTTGGTGAATAGAAACAATATTATCAGTAACGTCATTAATGCTACCAAAGATAATAATGATAGTAGTAATAGTATTAGTCATAAAGCGTTAATTCATGACCAGTGCTGATAGTAACTAAAAAGAACAACTACAAATCAACGTCAACCAGCATAATGTCTAATTCTATGGTGATTTGTGTGGCTTACATATAAATATATGTTATCATGTAACAGACTATATATATATATATATATATATATATATATATATATATATATATATATATATATATATATATATATATATATATATATATATATATATATATATATATATAAGGTAAGGTGGTGACCATGATTGAAAAGTAACAAAACTTAAACAGTAAATAACTAAATAAATTTATAGAAAAATTGTTGAGTTTTGCATATATTGGTGTCAAAATATGAAATATAAACTAAGAGGTACTCTTGATGAATAAGGTTGGTGTTATTGTTAACTGTGTAATAATTTAAGAATGTCCAAGTGAAATGATTAGAAGTGTTAAAATAGAGAGAGAATTCTTAGTTGTGTCGAATGACTATTTGTTTAAGACCTGTAGAAAAATGGTTACGTTAGCTTAGCAGTAAATGGATTCATTCACCTTTATCACTGGATCGTAGATTCAAACACTGTCTCATAGATTTTCGATTGTACAGCTAGATAATATCGAATTATAGTAGTACACCAGTCTGCATTTGGTATATGTATTAGATTACATTGTAGGCAGGTAGAGTTTGACTGGTAAGTGTTAAAGACAAAATGAACAGGGAATTAGAAACCTTGAACATAAAACTGATTACAACTTAAAATTTGTGCGCATTCACTATCTAATTTAATAAACATTTAATTAATGATTACCCAGTCCATTTTCTATCTAAGTCAACAGATGATAGCTAGATAGCTTTATGATGTAGTTGGTTCAGTTAACCATATTAGTAATTTAATTAACATCCATTAATTATTCGAGAGCAATCATGCGATATAGCCTTGACAATCCTATCCTGATATTCTAGAGTTGGAAAGATTTGAAAGAGTATTCACCTGAATTCATAAGATTTTAAAACTAATGGTAGAGACCTTTATAAACAATAATATCAAATCTCTGTTACTAAAAAGCTGACACATAACTCATTGGTTTGTGTAGTATTTACCCAACACAATTTAATTTTATTTGCTTTCAAAGTACATTAAGAAACCAAAGAATTTTGATATGCGTAATACGAATGAAGAACTGCATTCCATATCATTTCAAACGAGAGACAATTTGGAATTATTTGATGATAAAAAACACATCGGAAGAGTATGCTCATATAAAGAATCATAGATTGTCGTAGTCACAAAAAGAGAAACAAAACCAAGCATTAAAAAAATAATTCAAAAAGAAAACTAACCGATTCCCTCAAGCTAGGAGGCAGTGACGGTAGTGAAGAATGGATTTCAGCAGCTGTTGTACGTCCAATAGTGCAATTAGGAAGCTTTTCTTTGCTGTGTCCATTTTGTGGACTAGACAAAAAACGTCTTCCACTGCTATTATTATTATTATTATTATTTTGTATATTCTCAACAAGTCTTGATTCACCATAAGTTCCATTTGGAAACTATGTGCAAAAAAGGAGGAGAACTTTAGTGCTGATAAAAATAACTTGAAATCAAATAATAACAATTCCAGTCATTATCAATTCTGTGCAATAATCTTACTGAGTTTTGAAAACATGGATAATGTGTGTATACATGGTAGAATTATTCATGGTTCATACAGATTAATGTGCTAAGCTTTGAGTCGAACTTTTGTGTGTAAGAGATAGAGATAGAGAGAGAAGACGGTTACCGGGACTACCCAGTAACCCAAAGTGAAGTAAGTCGAGAAAGAATTGGGACCTGCTGGCCGTAATGGTCGAAATTCAATGGCAATAACTACTAAGTCATTGTTTGGTTTGTTTAAGAAACGAAATAATGAAAACGATATTCAACAATGGACAAATCAATACTTAAAAATGACTTAATTTCAGTTACATTTTATTTTTTGTTGCTTACCTTTGATTTGACCACCGTTTAAAAAACATTAACGAAGGTGGATTAGTACGTTTTTTCTTTATATTAAGCACAACTAGACAAAAAGATGGGAAGCTATTCAAGTATTAAACGCAAAAGCATAACCATAATTAGTTGGAGAGGTGTCATGGAGATTAATTTGATTTGCAAGTCGTATTTCTCACAGATTAATCCTAGTCAGGGTTCTACTGAAAACCAGGGGGCATCGAACAGTTGTTTCGTCCTTGTATAAGACTCCTTAGTAGTGACTTGCCGCGAACACACTAGGGAGAAGTTCAGATAAACTAGTAGACGAGATTGTGAGCTACGACTGAATAGGATACCTGTACACTTAAACGACTGATATTAGACGGGATAGATGTAATGAGGAAGAATATTTAAATTAAGAAATAAAATCAATTATTGAGGAATTCATGAAGAGCTGTTGACTTAGGATAGAATCCACGTCATATTAGAAAGTCGGAGACGGAGAATTTAAATACAAAACTACTTTTACTATCCACCTTTCTTTACTTTTGTAACATTATGCTTTCCTTTCAATTTTTCCATCATACATCATGTTTTCGTACATGATTTCTCTCCTAGTTATGTTGCAAATGAACACAACTGAATGAATTCTAGTACCATCTGGTTAATTTAATGAGTATTTTAATAAAGTACCACTAAATAAGGCTATACTTAAGCACACAACAGTTCACGTTTCGGACAATAGACTCAGTAATCGCTAGCAAATAACAATTAGGTTATTAGCTCTTGGATTTACCAATATATGATATATATGTAAAAATCGAAAGCGTTAATCACTTATAAGATATAGCATGGTATCCAGTCCGAGGTATAACTTTAATCTTTATCTGTAGTGTTGTTGGTGAAAGGATCAAATAGCAAATTATTTTAAAAAATGAAATATATTTTTCAGGTTTAATGTAACGTTATCCATCAAAAAATAAAAGACAAATCGGTGGCTAAGTGGTGGACGAATGTAAAATACCAGTAATCTCGTTGGAAATAAGTGTTTCAAAAGAATAAATATAAACTGCGAAACTGTATTTTGAGAACGATATATCATTACAAAACTTACAAAACATTTTGTATTATGTCTTGAAGTATCTTGACTCCAATAATGATTATTTCCAGTATTTTTTGATGTGAATATTACATGAGATTCACCTAAAATTTCCACTGAGTTTGTATTATCTGTTTCAGTTTCTCGTTTTCGCTAAGTTATGACGAGAATAATAAGCAAATAAGTAAACATCAGGATATATCTCAAAGAATAAGGAGGATATGACTTTAATGGATTATTCATATAGATCAAATCGCTCCCATCCCTTGTTCGCTGCATCAACGCTTACTCCTCCTCCGAAAGTGCTTTAAATGTTCTTACACCTATAAGTATATCCCATTCCACAAGTAAGATCATAGAAACTAATTGAATTTCTCTACCTGGTGACACCTTACACTAACACCGTCCGTTTTAACCTTAACTAATTTCAATGATATCTAACCGGAACAGCATATCATAAAATAACGTGATACCCGTATTATGGCGGACCTAACTGGCTGGCTGACATACTGTAGTCATTATCGCTTTTTTATCCCATACATTCTGTTTTCATTTTATTTTCTCTAGCTGTGGATAATTACACTCAGTCCGTTATGGCACTGGAAGTGACCTTAAAGATACCTTCATATATAGACAGGATGTCTACTTAAAAATAGTCAGTGGTTTCCGGCTGACGCCTTTCATTGCTGTAATATATGTGAAAAAAATGTACTACCTAAATAATTTTCGAACTAGAACCTTTCAAACAATCTAATATCTTATATGTCTTCTGCATGTAATATTACTACCTATGTCAAACTGATAATGCCTGTAAACTGGTATGAGTTCCATAATTATTTCCGGAATATTTATATTATTATACATGATTTGACGATAAAACTTGTTAGATGAGAAGGGTGCCAAGCCTATGACTTATTAGTGACATGTAAAGAGTCTGAGTTACCGCTTCCTATAATTGGTCAATGAATTCGATTTTACACAACTAGACTACAAGTTCGAGTCCTACTTCACTTAATTCAGTTTAGGCAGTCTGATGGTAGAGCTAATTGCTATACTACAGTATTCCCTACTGTCACTATATCCATTTACTCTCTAAGCTGTGATGAGAATTTGGATGAGTAGTTTTAGCTCAGTATGTTTGAACGTTGCCGAAATCACTTGATACTCTACTGAAATAAGTAAAAATCTACATTTATTTGAGATATAATAGAAGTCAAAAAAGACGGTCATTCGAAGTAAAATATGAGCCTTAATCGTTACACTACATTAAGTTACTTACAAAAATACTTTGATACGTTAAGTGGTAGGATAAATCTTGTATTTGAAAAGATTTATCCTGAGAAAACATTTACAACTGGATCAACTACTAATATGACAAATGATAGTAACAAAAAAATCAGTTGGAGTGAAAGTTTGGTGTTAAAAAAGTAGAACGAATAGGAAAGCTAACAAAAGTAACGTAGAATCTGATGAAACCTCTTACTAATCCGCAATTTCATATAGCATGAACACGAAAAAAAGAACAAAGACAAGAAAGCAACAACATCAACAGCAGTTAGTAGAAGAAAAATGAAGGATTAAAAAACAAGAGACAAAAGTACTGAACAATAAAATTTGTGGAATCTTTGGGAAAAGGTAAAGTAAATTTATTTTCGCCGATACAAACAATTTTGAGCCATATCATCTTGAGTCAATCGGTAATTTTAAAAAATGAAAAAAGCCTCAAAAACGTTTAACCGTAAATGATGGATGCGTAAAGTACAACATTGTGTGAGCAGCTGTCAAGAAAAAATCAGAAAAGAAAACGAATGAGCGGCTTTACTTTAATTACATATGTTCAACCAGTAGTGAAGATGAGTACAGCATAGTTCAACTTTAGTTTCTAGTAAATGGCGGTAGAAAATCACAACAACTAACCACAAAGATTTTGAAGATGCGTTTCTGAGACTAACTTGAAGCAGTGGCTTGGTGATTAAAACATTTAGTTACTGACGACTTGGTCGAAAGTTTGAATCCCACTTTCAGCTGGTTGGTAGTGATCGAATTAGAGCCTGGTACAAGTGTGCGTTAGTTCAAGTTGTTTTAGCACATTATTATGATGATACAAAATTAACAAGCTGAATAATAAAGGAGTCAAGACAATGGTAGTAACAATGATAGTTAAAGGATCAGGCACTGAGAATATGGTCTTTGGAATCCCGATAAAAAGTTGTATGTAAAAAAACGATTGAACTCAAAATCTAGAGGAAGATAAAGAGTGAATCCATAAGTTCTGTTGTAACTGGCTCTCACCAAAAACACTTAATATCTCTAGACAGTGGTCACAGTTATTGGGCGGACCTACAAGCAGACAGTTTACATCTAATGAAAGGACTCAGTTTAATAGTTAATGACCTCATAGACAAATAACACATTGGCTCGTTTGCCTTTTTCCTACAGTACTTCGATAAGCAGAGTGGTATTACCAGTCTCCGTACTGAAAAAGACTGGGAATTGGATAGACAAATGTGTAGCTAGTGAATAGTCAGATGAAACATTTACTTGTTTACTACACTTAAGGAGCAAGAAATATCCACAAACATAAGTAAGCACGTAAATAGAAAGAGTGGAAAAGTATTCTTCTGTAAAAAGCACTCACTTTTCGTTTGAACTGACTATTTTCGTTGAATTCATAGTCATGCGTTCTTCGCCTAATGGTTTTAGTTCCATCCATTTAAATTATTTTGCAAATAACGATAGTACATAACGAGCTGAAAATAACAAGCGATATACAATATGAAAGGAACTGATGAGAAATATTGAAAAACCTTGTAATATTAATTACGTTGAAAGATTTTCCACTAAGTGAAGACTCCCATAACAGTGCTTTGTTTAAAATATAACGATCAATAGTATTTTTATTATGATTTGATAAGAAAACAAATGGATTTGAAGTTTCAGGACGTTTAGTAATAGGTAAAAATAGCAAAGTTAAAGCAGGATCACTACTGGCTGATAACGTCTCAAGCCACTGTGCTGCACCATCTTTAAGACGCCAACTAGAGAGTTGTGAAGAACCAACAGAAGTCAGTCATATACAGCTTTCTTTAATACCACGACATCATATCATACACCAACCACCTCTCCGCTTTTTCCAACCAGTCCCAAATAATGCACGACGTGAAATTCCCTGGGACGACATTCGTAGAACATGTCAAAGCCACCGAAGTCGTTGTTTCAAGATGGTGATACCAATTGCATTATCATCTCTGTGCCCGAACACACAATGCCTAACCTCTTCATTGCCAACATGGTATTGCTACTGGATGTCAGCAATCCTTCGGAGACAACGATAATCAAACACAGAGAGTCATCTAACATCCTCAACTCAGAGAGGCCAGGTTTCACAAGCATAGAGCAAAACTGCTCTCACCGACGCGTTGTAGATCCGACCATTTACAGCCAGACCAACATCATGAAAGTCCCAAGGGTGGCGCAGATTGACATAAGCTGCTCTGACTTTCAGAATACGTGCATTGATCTCATCACTCGTGCCCCCACCAGCACTTATGCAGCTAACTAGATACACGAACTTCTCGACTACGTCTATCTGCTCACCATCCAGGATGAGTACAGGATTAGAATCCTGCAAGTTTTGTAAAAGTACTTTGCACTTGGAAGGTGCAAAGCACATACCATACTTACCTATATTGATGACCAACTCATTAAGTGTGGATTGCATGGCTTGGGTATCATCGCACAGTAAGACAATGCCCTTACTCTGCCTGAGGTATTTGTATATAGGACTCTTAGGATGTTAATAAAATCCTTAGGTATATCCTTCTTCAATAGACAATCCTAGAAAACAAATCAAAGGCTACCTAGTGTCAAGAAACACTACGATTGTTGACCTACGAAGTACCTCTGCCATGCTTTACAGACCAAATTCATGATGGAAGCTTCATCTCTCGGGTGCTCTAACTGGCTTTGTAATGTTACAAGCCACAACTTCTACAAATGGGGTAAAGAGGTTCAGTTAACCCAACGGTACATTCAGGATTATGAGTCATCTGGATCCGTAGACTTTCCAGGTCTCAGAAGTCAAAGTAGCTGTAGGATAAATTTCTTAATGAGCAATAGTTCTTTAGTCAAGTGGTGTTTCTTTAAGTTATCTGCTGCACTATTATGTATCTATATATATATATGACTGTAATAATATGGGAAGCATTGCTAGTATCTTTATAGGCTCTTTGGGGTAATTTTTCACAATCGAGAGTGGTAGGAAGAACCTTCAAAATTTCCCTATATTAAAGGGAAATGTCTTTGAGGTCATGTTTATGCTCAAATTAACTGCTCCTCACGGTATGAACCGGACACAATGAATAAAAACCTGTAAAAGATGGTTAACTGTTAAGTATGACCTTTGGTTCCCTACCATAACTGCCTTACATTAACGGATCGCGATGCAATTCAGATCACCATTACTCATATGTTAAGGATGCGTAAACGCTTTGAAGGTGTCACGTAGTAATACTTCTAGGCTAGAGCTTCAAACGAGTCTTTAAAGACTAGCTAAATGGTTAAGTTAAAGCCTATGTTCAAACTCCACGAAAAGTGCACTAATAAAGCACTGCCTTAGTAAAAGCTAAAGCAACACTACTGATGAAATACCACTGACACGAGATCTGTAGCAAAACACTCTGGTACTAACACGTTTTACTATGTTGCATTCTTCAAGATTTGCTATATCGGCTCTTGAATGCCCTGGTACGGCCGAGAGTGGGGAGATTCCACTCTCCCTCTCGAAATGCTCTCACACGGCCACGCGTATATAGCCTCTGCCAGGGAAGTCCTACTTACTACCTTCTCGTGGCGGGGGTGTTGTTTACGAAAATGAGAAGACGAAAAGCTAATGTCCGGAGCTTTAACCGGATTCCAAATCAATGGTGCACATGGGCTCCAGTATCCTGAGTGAACAAATGGCGTATGAACCAATCGTTGGTCACCGGCTTCCATGGGACTATCTCCTTACGATGCTCCACCACCTTGTGGATCAGACCTTCAGGTCGAAGGCTCGGGGAGTGGCCCCCTAAGAAAACCACCTGCTTCGGTTTGGGCACCCGGACAGTATCACAGCCCTCACACAAATCATATGAGATTTGTGTGGCGCATATGTATTTGGTGCCTCCTTGTACCAATATCTATGTGTTAAAATAATAATATAAGAACCCTAAGACCACGATTGAATAAACTCAGTTTGGGTTCCCGCTCCTCCTGTCTAGTGGTAAACAATTGGAACGACCTGGAAAACGGTGTACGCTCTCAGGAAGAAACGGAATATTTACGAAAAAATACTGCATGAATTAGGACAGGTTAACCAGCTCACGATCTTTTTTACTGATTATAGGCTGGAAAATCCGCAGTCTCATGGGGAAATTTCGTAACACGTGTACCTTAATAACTAAGGCGATACAGATGATACTACATGTTTATCCTTTATAAATTAGGCAAAACATCAACTGTACGACGAATGCAATCATATAGGATTATAATTTCGCTGATTCCTCCTAATATCAAATAAAGCGTAGCATAATGAAAATCTGAATCAATCAGCTAAACTGTACGTCAGCAAGTTTTGATATTAGGTAACACGCTGTGACTTGATCTTATGAAAAGCCAGACAGAAATACCTTGTTAAGAAAATGCACTAATACTCAGTAACGCAACATTCAAATATAACGCTTGACGGTATGAACTCAGATCAGATTCGTATTTTGAGGACAAAAGACATACAGTCTATGTTAGCCTTTTTCTGGCAAACTTATGAAAGTGTCTAGTCTTTTCTTGAGTGA